GGTACCTGTGGTAAATAATTTATGATGTGTTTCCAAATGAATTGCCAGGTTTACCTCCAGAGGGGAAGTAGAGTTAGTATAACTAGCCCCCGCATAGCACCCATTTCTAAGGCTCCTTATCGCATGCCCCAGCTGAGCTCCAAGAATTGAAGAAGCAGTTACAAGAGTTGTTAGACAAGGGCTTTATCAGCCGAGTCATTTCCCATGGGGTGCTCCAATTCTATTTGTGAAAAAGAAGGATGGGTCATAAGATGTGTATAGATTACCGTGAACTGAATAAAGTCAATAAAGAATAAGTACCCATTGCCCAGGATAGATGATTTGTTTGACCAATTATAAGGTGCCTCAGTGTTTTCTAAAATTGATCTAAGGTCAGGATACCATCAGTTAGAGTGGCTAAGGAAGATATACCAAAAACGGCTTTTCGAACAGGTATGGACATTATGAATTTGTTGTGAGGCCATTCGGATTGACTAATGCACCTGTAATTTTTATGGACTTGATGAACAGAGTTTTTCATGATGTCCTTGACAAGTTCATAGTGGGTTTTATTGATGATATCCAGTTTATTCCAAGACTTTAGAAGAAACTGCCGAGCATTTAAGATTTGTTTACAAAGATTGCGAGAGAAACAACTGTATGCCAAATTTTCAAAATGTGAGTTTTGGTTGGATCGGTTACCTTTTGGGTCATGTGATCTCTAAAGACGGTGTCTTTGCTCTGATACCAAAATGTAACACCTCCTCTTTACTACTATTTTTATAGTTCATACTGTAAAATATAGAGATGTATATCAGAAAGATAGTGGGCTCAAATTTTTCTTTACTCATAAAGTATAATTCTTGACAAATACAAAATACTATGTGTTAAAAACTTTCTAATTATAACACAAATATCATGACTGGTGGACAGTGGTGCCAAAACTCTCCGCTCCTCGACGTCCATCCGACCGCTGCTCCTATTTCCTACAAAACCAGAGAAGAACAACGGGGTGAGCACAACAATGCTCAGTAAGTAAATCCTCTACTACCTGTCCCCGCAACTCACTCTTTGGTTCTTTCCTTACTCTATCGTTCTTCTATTTCTTTTTCTCACTATTTTTCTCTTTCTTTCTGATACTTTTATTCTCCTTTAACTCTGTTCTGCTCTTTTTATTCTTTCTCTCTGTCCTTTTTCTCTTATTCTTACTCACCATGAAGGACAATTATGGTTCTCTCTTATTCTCATCATACTCACCATGAAGGAAAATCATGGTTCTCGCCTGTATAAGCTCTACATGCAATTAATACAAAAGAACTGCATGTTTCTTTCTTCTACTCTCTATTCTTATTAGCTCAAACTTCCGCATTCTTTCTCATACTCTCTCTCTCTTTCTATCTCATTCTTTCTCAAGCTTTCTCAAGCTTTCTCATTCTTTAATTCTTTCTATTATCTCATTCTCATAAATCATAAATCATTTCTACTAACTCGCTCTTTAGTAGTCATGGCCTCATCTTACCGGAGGCACGGCCGGGACTCACTCCCACTCTACATGACTTCTACTCATTCTAGCTGATCGGACTCGGTTATGCATGGATTCGAAACCCTTGGCCATGTGAGTGTATAATCTCTCTCTTGGGTACTCGGGTATAGCCCTCATCCACATGTACTCTCACGGGCTACAACACTTCTCTTTCTCATACTCATGCCGCTCTCTCAATGCGGCGTACATGCGGGAATACTCTACCCATTATTCACGGGTTCCCCATCGCATAACCTACTCTATGCTCTTATCTTTTTCTTATTCTTTCTCATGTTTGCTCATCTCTTTCTCACGCTAGTACTCATACTCAAGCTAGTACTCATAATATAGCTTAACTCTTATCTCATCTATATTCTTTCTATTTCTGTTCTTATTCATTAGAATGTCACGACCTTATCTGACCGGAGGCACCGCTGGGCGCTACCACTCTATGTGACTTCTACTCATTTCTGTACTGATCGGATTTGGTCATGCATGAATTCGGAACCTTTGGCCATGTGAGTGTACATGTTTTCTCTCTATCTCTCTCAAATGTCACGACCCCTTCTTACCGGAGGCAGGGCTGGAACCTCATGTTCCACTCTACGTGACGGTCACGGCCTCATCTTACTGGAGGCACGGCTGGGAATCACAAAGCACCCACTCTCGTGACTCTACTCATCACTCACAGGTTCCCCATCGCACAACTTGCTCTATTCTCTTCTGTAGCACTTTTCTCTCTTTTATTCGCTAATGCTCAATCTCTCTTTCTCTTTACTATCAGAGTGTTCTCATTCTCTTTACTCTTAAAAATTGTTATTCTCAACATTCTCTACTCTTTCTCACTCAAACTATTACTCATAGTATAGCTTATACTCAAAATTCTCTACTCTTAAGCTAGTACTCATAAGGTAGCTCATACTCAACATTCTCTATTCTTTCTCAAGCTACGTCTCAATGCACAATTAATGCATATGGATGGCTCATACTCATTAATGCACTTTTGAAATGCCAAATGCAATATTGCATCAAAGCAGTCATTTTGCACAGGTCACCCTAAAAAAGGCATAACTTGCGTTATACACCTCAGATTGCTATGGTTTTTGTCTCATTTTAAAGCTTAGAGATAAGGCTACAATTCTATGTTTTGGTCTCTGCCCAGTTCAATCATTAAGACGCCCAAAATTCACTTAGAAAGTCACGGCTGTGACAGGGCAGATTTCACTTAGGCATTTCATCAAGCAGCTCATGTGCATACAAAAACTCTTCTCTAACTACCACTCTCCTTCTCTTTTTAACCATCCAAAAATGGGAAGAAACTCCTTTCTATGGACATGGTTCCTATCATAGAAGAACACTCCCAAAATATCTACTCAATCTCCTCCAACTTCATCTCAAACTCATCACACATTAACACTTCCCATAAAGGAAATATCCAACAAAGATAACATAAATACTCTCCTCAACTCAATTCTTCAACAAATAGACATAGATCTCTACTCAATTTCTCAATAAGCATCATATATACATGCATAAATAAATCTCTACTTAAGAATTTCTTAAACTTTAGCTTGAGTTGGATTTACTTACCTCATACTTGAGTAGTCTCCACTAAAGCTCTCTACTTTTGTTGGATCATAACTTTCCCTTATTTCCTAAGCATAAACTTAGTAAGAATTTAACCCTTACATAAATAAAACTCATCTCTAGAGTAGGGAGTCTTACCTCTTCTTGCTTAGGATCACTTCTTTGTCAAATTCCAACTCAAAACTCTCAAAAATCCCTTGGAAGATTGAGTGAGGAATTGAGAGAAAATGGGAGATGAAGAGGCGGTGGAAATGGGTGAAAAATGAATGGGTTAAAAGAATTCAACCCTTATTAGCTCATATAATAAACACTCTTTCCCATTTTGCCCTTACTCTTCCTTGAAATTTCCACCTTTTTCCTTTAATTCTTTACAAACTCACCCCCATTTTACACTATTCTCCATGAAATTTCCTTACATTTTACTCCCCACTTTTCCTGCTAATCAGGGGTAGAATGGTCATTTTACCCCTATGAAGAATTCTCTAGAAAACTCAAGAAACTTTTCTGCCTTCTGTCGCCACGGCGAAGAACTTTCCGTCACCCCGGCGAAACATTCCAGAACCGACACCGCCAACACAGAACCAACATCGCCATGACGAAGCTTCTCCCTCACCCCGGCGACGACTACAACTCCAAAATCTGCCAAGTCTTGATCAATTCCATGGTACACACTCAACCAAACCCAAAACATAAACTCAACCAAAGGCCAACCAAACAGCATGAACAATACATAAACTCATTTAGGGGCAATTCAGTAATCCTTTAGGCCATACCTTAAACAATGGCTACGTATTTCAAGTGGGGTGTTACACAAGTAGAGTGCAAAATGGGGCATTAGCAAATTGACGTTTCTTGTAGCAGCGGGATATGATGGCTAGTGGATTTGGGCATAAAATCTTATAGCTGATTGGAAACCTGGAGTTATTTATATTTAGAGTTAGGAATCCACAATACTGATATTGCACAAGAAGGCTTATTGAACTATTGTGACAGCCATGCCATGTTACTTTCATTAAAACATTGTTTAACAAAGCATGGTCGTTCTTGTTTTGGGCTTAAATTAGTTCAAAATCTGCAAGTCTTTAAGCCTACCTTAAATATAATCTTTCCTTTTTAATTTAAAAATATGGGCAAAGATGGATTCAGATCTCCTGTTAGATCATCGAGAAAGAGCAAAGAAAATGCAATTTCCTTCCAAGCCATTGAGATTTCTATTTTATTATTTAGAATGTTAATCTTCAATCAAACACAAACCTAACATGTTCATCTATCAAACTCAAACAACACACAGATCCACTGAACAAATCAACCAAGAACAAGAAAAACATAAAGAAGATAGCCAAGATTTACTGTGCTTCGTTTATTCCAATGGAATAAACTACATCCACGTTGAGCTCAAAGTAATTTGAGACTCACTACACTATAAAGATTGAATTCGTTACAGATTAAAACAAGAAATCTCAATAACCCCCAAATCTCTCCTCTCACACAACCCCTCAATCTACCCGTAATCAACACAACCAAGACAACTTAAACAAGCGTCTAGACCAGAAGAATATACAGCTTCTTCTACCCATAATTCTAACAAAAACTGTGACCTAATTACAACTTGAAGGAATCAATACTAAGCACCCAGCACTGACGAAAACGCGAGAGAGAGAGAGTGAGTTTTCAATCTGATTTCTGCAGTGAATTTCAGCTTTAAATAGGTTGACCATCTGGGCTAATTTCCACCATTGGATTAGGCTGAGATTAATGGCTAAGATTTGTCACTTAACACCTTCTTAAAACGTCAGCGTATTGGAGCTTCACTTAACAAACTCCACCTTGAAGCTTCAACACATTACCTGATCAAATACCTTATCAGCGTAGTTCATCCACAAATTACTCATCATAACTCTATTGCTGCAACTTACTCAACATGCAGCAGGTTCAACCAGTGCTTGAACTTGGTTGGAGACACTACTTTTGTTCCCAGTAGTTTAACTTCTGACAATAGTCCTTGAAGCCAGAGAGCTTCTTTGAAAACATCTGTCATAGCCACATACTCTACCTCAGTTGTGGATAGAGCAACAATTGGCTGAAGTTGGGACTTCCAGCTCACACAGTTTCCACCCAAGGTGAACATGTATGCAGTGGTTGATTTCCTTGAATCTTTGTCACCTGCAAAGTCAGAATCTACAAATCCTACAAGATCAACTGAGTCATATCTTTTTCCATATTCTAAGCCAACATGCACAGAACTATTAATGTATCTAAGAAGCCATTTAAGAGCAAGCCAATGGTCAAAACCAGGATTTGACATAAATCTACTTAAGAGGGAAATTGCAAAAGAAAGGTCTGGTCTGGTGCTAATCATGGCATACATTGCTGACCCAACTACATTTGCATAAGGGATATTTTCCATTTTGATTAAATCAACATCATCTTTAGGGCATTGTGATTTACTTAACATAAAATGTCCAACCAAGGGTACATTCACAGTTTTAGATCCTGCCATGCCAAATCTAGACACTAATTTTTCCAAGTAAGACTTCTGATGGACTTTTAACTCATAGTTCTTTCTGTTTCTATCTATTACCCTAGAATCTGTTTAGCACTTCCTAAATCCTTCATATTAAATTCAGAGTTCAATTTTTTCTTTAACTCTTCTATCCTAGGCTTAGACTTGCAATTAAAAGCATGTCAACAACATACAACAGTAAATATAAAGGCATGTCATCATATAAAGCATAATAGAAACAACTATCATATTTGCTTCTACTGAAGCCAATGCTAAGAATAAAAGCATCAAAACGCTTATACCACTGCCTAGGGGACTGTTTTAGTCTATATAAGGATTTGTGAAGTAGGCATACATGGTTGGGTAGGTTTCTATCTACAAAACCTATGGGTTATCTCATGTTAATCCTTTCTTCCAAGTTCCCATGCAAGAATGCAGTTTTAATGTCAAGTTGTTCTAACTCTAAATCCTTATGGGCAACTATGGCTAACATGATCCTAATGGTCTTGTATTTCACAACGGGGGAGAATATCTCATTATATTCTATTCCCTCCTACTGTGTGTAGCCTTTGGCTACCAACCTAGCCTTATACCTAGGAAGGTTAGAAAAATCCATACCTTCTTTAAGCTTGAATAACCATCTACATTCAATCAGTTTCTGGTCTTTAGGATTTGGAACCAAGGACCAGGTTCCATTTACCTTTAGGGACAGCATCTCTTCCTCTATTGTAGCTTGCCATTTTTTGTTGTCTTTGGATTTGACTGCTTCTTCATAGCAGTCTGGTTCTATCCTCTGGACTTGAGCCCTTGCCACTAAGGCTACGTAAATCAAATCAGCATAGGAGTATCTTGTTGGTGGCCTAATTTCTCTTCTACTTCTATCCCTGGCTAGCTGGTACTGGGCTAAGGATTAGGATGGGGATCAGCAGGTTCTATTTCATTTTCCTCTTCCAACTTAGGGTCCAAATCTGGCTCATTAATATCAGCTTCCTGTTGCTCCAAATCAGGTTGCGTTACAGCAGGCTCCACCACAAGTTGGACTCTCTCAGGTTGATCCTGATTCATAGATTTGCTGCTAGTTAAACTTGCATCAGAGTTAGTAGTTTTGCAAGGAAATACATTCTCATTAAAAATTACATCCCTACTGATTATTATTCTAACTCTAGGAGCACTCCTCTCTCAAAGTCTATACCCTTTGGTTCTCTCTTGATAACCTAAGAGGACACACCTAAGGGACCTAGGCTTTAACTTCCCTTCACTGTTATGGACATAAGCAACACATCCAAAGGTCCTCAAGTGTCCTTGGCTAGGTTTCCTATTACTCTACTTTTCCTCTGGACACATAAAACTGATGGCATTTGAGGGACTTCTGTTAATAACTCAAGCAGCGGTGTTAAGGGCTTCTCCCCAAAAAGACTTTGGTAGGCTGGATGTAAAGAGAAGGCATCACCTTCTCTAAAAGGGTCCTATTCATTCTTTTAGCAACCCCATTCTGCTGAGGGGTTTTCCTAATTGTTCTATGTTTTAGAATGTCATGTTCAATGCAATAAGCATCAAATTCCATGTTACAGAACTCTAAGCCATTGTCTGTCCTAAGTATTTTAACCTTTTTGTCAGTTTGGTTCTCTACAAGAACCTTCTAACTCTTAAACTTACCTAATGCTTCATCCTTAGTCCTAAGTAAGAAAACCCACACCTTCCTACTGTAATCATCTACTATGGATAGAAAGTAGCTACTACCCCTATGTGATTTTACCCTTTCAGGTCCCCACAAGTCGGCATGCAAATATTCTAAACAGTTGGTAGCCAGGTGAGTTCCCTTATGGCCTGTGTTGCTTACCCATGATACATGTCTCACGAAACTCAAGGGGTACAATGGGATTCTTACCAAACAGGCCCTGCTTTTATAGGATGTCAAGGCCCTTCTGGCTCATGTGACCTAGCCTTAAGTGCCATTTTTCTGTAGCATTCAGGTTAGTAAAAAACAGTGCAGAATTTAAACAATCAGTGTAATAATTTCCACACAGAATATACAGTCCATTTCTTTTTACACCCTTAAGCAATACACTGTTATTTTTATAGACATTAAGGCACCCATTTTCAGCTTTATAACAACATCCAGGTTCATCTAAAGTACCTAATGAAATTAGATTTCTCTTTAATTCTGGAATGTACCTAACCTTAGTTAACTTGACAGTTTTTCCAATGTCTAGTCTTAGGGTTACACTGCCTATTTCTTGGACTTTACACGCATTGTTATTACCCATGTACACAGTTTCTGACCTATTCTCCTCAAAGTCAAAAAACCATTCTTTATTAGGGCTTATATGAAATGAGCACCCAGAATCCAAAACCCAATCATTTATCTTTTCAGTTTTGGAAACTGTTAGAACTTTAGATTCTTCTATATTAGACTTAGAGATTGCTAGGTTACTTTTAGTGTTCTCTTGTTTCTGTCTCTTAAGCCATGCATAGCAATTCTTTTTTAGATGACCAGTTTTGTTACAGAAGAAACACTTCCTAGTTTCTCCCTAGGTTTTACAGTTCAATTTTCCCTTTTTCTTGTTCCTAGGGCCACTATCAGACTGAACAGTTTTGCCTAACTGGTTTAGTTCACCTTTTCCCTTAACAAACAGAGTACTACCAGTTCTCCTATGTACCTTAAGCTCTAACTCTCTAGCTTTTAATCCTGAAACTATTAAGTCCATGCTTGGGATAGTACTAGTGTATTGTAGGGCATTTTTTACAACCTGGTAATCCTCGGTCAGGGAATTAAATAAAATCATAGCTAAACTAGAGTCCCCAAGTTCTTGATCTGTACCCTTCAACACTTGGGTTAGTTTCAAGAACTCGTCAAGATTTTCATCAATGGTCCCAGAGCTCTCTATTTTATATGCAAACAAAACACCTTTTAAGTAAGCTAAGTTTGGTGCAGATTGTAAAGCATAAAGGGATTCGAGTTTACCCCATATCGCAGTCGGAGTTTCATACCTGTCTACTTTCTGCAGGACACCATCGGAGAGATTCATAATGATTAGGTTGTACGCTTTCTCCTCCAACTCTGCTTTCTTTTTCAGTTTCTCCTATGACCATTTGGTTACATCCTTTTCCAGTGTGATGGCTACCTTATTATGTGATAATAAGGCTTTCATTTTTTTCTTCCAACTGCTGAAATCAATTTTCCCATCGAATTGGGTGATTTCAACTCGTGTAGTAGTCATAGTGTTTGGATTTAGGGTTGACACAGAAGAAACCCTAATCTGTTTAGGATCGAATTGGAGTCAATTACAAGAAATTGACATGACAATCTAAGGTTTTCCTAGCCATAGGATCCTAATTTGATTGATTTTCAAGAAACCCCCAATTTGTATAACCCTAGGTTACACGAACAATCAAGACAGAACAAGAAAACCCAATACTCGCTCTGATACCACTGTTAATCTTCAATCAAACACAAACCTAACCTGTTCATCTATCAAACACAAACAACACACAGATCCACTACACAAATCAACCAAGAACAAGAAAAACACAAAGAAGATAGCCAAGATTTATCGTGGTTCGTTTATTCTAATGGAATAAACTACATCCACATTGAGTTCAAAGTAATTTGAGACTCTCTACACTATGAGGATTGAATTCATTACAGATTACAACAAGAAATCTCAATAACCCCAAATCTCTCCTCTCACACAACCCCTCAATCTACCCGTAATCAACACAACCAAGACAACTCAAAACAAGCGTCTAGACCAGAAGAATATACAGCTTCTTTTACCCACAATTCTAACAAAAACTGTGACCTGATTACAACTTGAAGGAATCAATACTAAGCACCCAGCACTGACGAAAACGCGAGAGAGAGAGTGAGTTTTCAATCTGATTTCTACAGTGAATTTCAGCTTTAAATAGGTTGACCATCTGGGCTAATTTCCACCGTTGGATTAGGCTGAGATTAATGGCTAAGATCTATCACTTAACACCTTCTTAAAACTTCAGTGTATTGGAGCTTCACTTAATAAAGAATTAAGTTGAAATTCTAAATAATGTTAGGCTATCCAATTTCTTGTAAATGCATTACAAAAGCACTATAATATAGGTCAGTTCTTGTTGTTTCCACCAAGAAATAAATTGCAAGGCTAAACTAATTTCAGCAGGTCTTACTACGTTATTCGTAACATGTAAAGAATAATTCATATGAAATATATGATTTAGTCTAGGTTTCCGGATTGGATATTATGTATGTTCTTGACCGTGGGATAAGTTAATTAAAAGCCTATGAGCTTTGAAAAATGATTATTAAAAAAATCAATGCTAACAGTTGGTACTGCAAAGACTACGTCATTACCTGGCATTTTAAATTCTCTTTGCTAATTAAACATACTTTATAGTTGGTCTTAAATATAATATTGTTTAGGTCTGTGGTTAACAATTGATAATTAAATAGGCAAATGTGAGCCTATTCCTCTTGAAAGTCCATAAAAATTGGACGAGGCCATCTCATAGTTGATGGATGCATATGGATCAGACATAACCATAATCTGCATTCTCAAAAGGAATCTTGTGCTGAGGATTCCTTAAATAAATGGAGGAATCCTAATATATGTATGACAATGAACATTATAAATTTCCATTGTCACTAGATGGATAAATGTAGGGGGAAATTTTTATTCAATTAATATTTTATGATTAGAAGACAATTCTGTAATACTTTCTCTCTGGCTAGTATATTCGAAAAATAAACAGTATTATAAGAAAATATATAAATATATAAAATTATATATTCATAGATGAGTATGAAATAATGGGCCCATATCTAATTTTTCTTTATATACAAATCTTTACATAATATAATAAAGTCACAAAACAGTAACTCGATAGTGTTGCCAAACCCTTCCGCTTCTTGATGTTCAAGCAACCGCATCGCACCTACTACTTGCAAAAAAAATTGAAAACAATGGAGTGAGCACTAATTGCTTAGTAAGTAAACCCGCTAT